ATCAACCCTGAATCTTTTTTTCCTGAACAGTAAGTGTACAAATGCTCAATTGCCTTTTTTTTTTTTTGTAGTATAGATTTCAAGGTATATAAAAATTGGCTCGCCAACCTTGAAAACAATCCAATGTTGAGAAGTATATCTTGCCCTGTTTTAGGCTTCTTTTTTGTATCTAAATAATAAGACTATGCTAGCTCATCTTCTTTTCTCCTTCCTTTAATCTTTTCTGGAGTGTTTTGGTGGGGAAAGTTGATCCTTCCCTGGCCCCCATTCCTGTCAAGATTAAGAGCCTGTTAGACACATGCGAAGCAGGAAATACCTTAACTAGACCCTACTGAGGTCACCATGGATACCAGCCCAAAACCTGCTGCTATAGGCCTCTCTCTCACTCGCTTGCCTTTATTAGCAGAGTTAATGGTAGTGATGGGCGGAGTTACTACAGCAGAAGTAGTCAGGAGGAAACCTGGCTTATGTTTGCACTCTGTTTACTATTAAAAATGTGTCAGTAATGAGCATAAGCAGTTTCTTTCCTTAAAATAATTCTTAAATGAATGCTTTTTCACAACCATAGAGCTTTCCCAGAGTTTTCGGAAGAAATTTTCTTTGCATTCACCTTTTTGTTTTTGGGTCTTTTTACCACAGTGACTCAGTAGGATGTAGGCCATGCATTGTTTATTTAGATTTACTCACATTTCCAAACAATAGTGTAAATGTCGTCTTCAGCGGGTGGCAGGATTTCATAGAAATTTGACCTGTTTTGAACAATCATCAAGTCCTGACGCATCTTTTATGGGAAACATAAAGATCCCTTCGGCAATCAAATGCATTGTTATTGAAAGGAAATTAATCCAATTTCCATCTGAATATGAAGCAGTCACCATTTGTTTTGTAAATGTGAAAATCTCACCTCGGCTTACTGTTAGTAAAGAGTCACAATTAGCATATGGTGTCAGTATGTGCTTTTTGACAACATCAGTATATTCTTTTAGAAAGAACCCCCAACAGGGATAATTCTCCAGTACACTACTCTAAGAAGCAGTTCCCCTTTAAAAGAGTACGGCCAGTTGCTTGAAAGGTGCAGACGCATGACATAATGTTGATGGACAATGAATCAGTGTAATTATATTTACACCGCCTCCCCCCCCCATCA